CGTGGTGGCGCATGCCTTTAATCCCAACACTCGGGAGGCAGAGGCAGGCAGATCTCTGTGAGTTCAAGGCCAGCCTGGTCTACATAGTGAGTTCCAGGACAGCTGGGGCTACAGGGACACTCTGTCTCAAAAAGACCAAAAAAAAAAAAAATTAAGTTAGGGCCAGTTAAATGCAGGTAAAGAACTTGCCACAACCTGAGTTTGATCCCCAGAACCCACAGAAAGGTGGAAGGAGAGAAGCAACTCTATAATGTTATCTTCTGACTGCCACAGGTACACAGGTACATGTGTATGTCTCCCTCCTGACACACATACATCATGCACATATATACAATAATATTTTTGAATGAAAAGAAATTGATAAGAATCAGTGAAGTAGCTCAACTTTTCCTTTATTTCACTTAAGGTCTGTTCATCAACCCAGAAATCCTGGAGCTCAGAAGGAATGAAGGAACAGTGTACTCTCTATGGACCCAGTGAGAATGGATTGCAAGTTTTGGCCAAACAGCTCTTAATATTTATCTCATTCTGCAACTGGAGCTTCAGTTTTCTTTTCTCAGCTCCTCTGATTTCAAAGGGGTTAAAAAAGTGGAAGATTTCATTTTCATTTACAAAGAAAATAAAGTTCCTTTCTTAAACTTTCATTAATTTGGGGGAGGGTCTTTTTGAGACAGGGTCTCCCTGTAGCCCCAGGTGTCCTGGAACGCACTATGTTGACCAGGCTGGCCTCAGTCATCTCATAGAGATCTGCTTCCCAAGTGCTGGGTTTAAAGATGTATACCACTAAAACAGGCTAACTTTCATTAATTTGCATTTGTTACAAATCTTAATAGTTATAAATATCTATGGGGTGTTCTTTTTTGTTCTTTTTGAGCTATCACTGACCTTGAACTCACTATATATTCAAGGATGACCTTGAACGTCTGATCTTCCTATCTCCACCTACCTAGTGCTGAGATGCTATTAAACCACCACTCCCGGTTTCAGCAGTGCTGGGTATCAAAGTCAGCGCCTCCCGCATGCTAGGCAAGCACTCAACAACTGAGCTACATCCCCAGCTTCAAGACATAAATATCCTGAAGATCAGTTTTGTACTCGGAATCTATTTCACTGGGACATGATATATATAACATGTGGGCAGCTAGTCTTTGCTAAGCCTTTGCTATTCAGGCGATTTTCCAATCTCAACTTTCATTATAGCAAAAAGAAATCACTTATGAGATGCAGGAGAAATTTAATTGGAATGCCTTCAGGGTCCATTTGCTTTTCCTGTGAAGCACTTGGATGCAAAATCTATAACTGAAGAAGGTGGCCTTAAAATCATTATTAAAAGTACTAACTTGAACCAGCAGTAACCCACTTAGCTGATGTGGAGAAGAAAAGAAAAAAATGTCAGTGCGCTAACTCAGGGATGTTGATTACATTATAAACCAATTCTATGTCCAGGTACAAATAACACTACAAAAATTATCTTGATGCTCCACTGTGACAAAAGCACATGGCACAGAGAGGGCCCCCGCAGCCAAGCCCAGCACCTAAACAGCAATGGTGTCATTGTAGATGAAGCACTGATTTCATTTTTAAGTCAATGCCAAAGGCATCATCATTTGGGGAACAGGTTCAGACCAGAAGAAAAGAAGTACTTTCAAAATGGGAAATAGCAACCAAAGGACCAACATTTCAAGTGAAAGCCCAGTCACAGTATTTACCTTCTATTTTCCCTCTCAAAATCGAAAACCGTTGCTGTGGAAATTGTTCCACTCCTGTCAATTGTGAAGCCGGAGCTCTCCGGAGAAATGAAATACTGTTTATTGGACAGAAAAAAAGAAAGCAAATATTTCAGGGATACAACTGATGGTGGTGAGGTTCCTCATGCCTCTAAGAACCAAGCCTGAAGCCTCTTTGTATCCTGTGTGGCTCACCAGCCACTGGTCACCACAGAATAGATGCTTAGTAAATGTCAGCTGCTGCTGCTGCTGCTGCTGCTGCTGCTGCCGCTGCTGCTGCTAAAACTGTACTACATTCACCTGACTTCAAGCCAGAAAGCCTACTCTTTAATGCTAAAAATAATTTTTCTCATCTCTACAGCCTGCCTGTTACCTGAACGTTTCTACAACACTTCACCCAAAGCTAAACATAAAGAAAAGGGAGTTACATTAAGAGACATCCCTGATAATTTGTATGTGGATGATAAGTATAGGCTTTGTGGCTTTGGGGGTGGATCGAGGAGCTACATGAAGAAGGAGAACATGGAGACAGCATCCATTTGGTTTTTCTGCATGTGTAGGTACAGGTGATATTTTAGCACAGTTTTTAAGTGTCTCATTGACTTTTTAACTCATACTACCTTTCAGTTAGTCTAAGTGCTTCATTGAAGTCTCAACATTCTGTGTCACAGATGCTGAAATTACCCCATTTCACAAACAGCAAACCTTAGGCTTAGAAAATTCCAGTGATGGGGGCTGGAGAGATGGCTCAGTGGTTAAGAACACTGACTGTTCTTGCAGAAGACCCAGGTTTGAATCCCAGCACCCGCATGGCAGCTAACAACTGTCTGTAACTCCCATTCCAGGGGGTCCAACAGCCTCTTCTGTCCTCTGCAGGCATTTCACGACATGGGTGCACTCACCTACATGCAGGCAATACACGCATACACATAAAATAAAAATAATAAATAAAATATTTTTTAAAAGAGAAAAAATTCCAGTGACTTCCCTCAGCCTGAGTCACTTGGCAAGTTGCTTTTCTATTCCCTACATTGCATCCCTGAGATAAGGTTCCTGCAGAACAGGGCACATGAGGTCAGAATTTCTAAAGTAAGTAAGAATCAACTGATTAGAAAAAGCCAGGGCAAAAAAATCCATGAGGGGATTAGTATCAGGAGTTAATTATACCAAGTGCTACTGACTGAATAATTGCACAACCAGGTATAATTTAATTGAGGAGATGAGACCCATAAAGACTGTAAAGCAACCCAAAAATCATTTGGAGAAATTAGTGACCTTTAAATTTATTGGTTTTCTGATGAATCATCATGTTCTGACTAATTTTGATTCAGACCTTCTATGTCTACCGTCTAAATAAGATAGACTGGATTGCTGCTGTTTCTGTAAAACAATACAGAATATTAGCATTCAGGAACAGCAGGCAACTTCATCACATATTTACTTTTCTGGCAAATACAGGAATAATGATGCTGCTTGTAAAGGAAGGATGGAAGATGACTGGGCGTTAAGTGACCTGAGAGGGCTCAGCAGCACTGACTGGCTCTATACACATACATAGGGTTTTTTATTTTTTTAAGACATCCACATTTCTGTTTGTAGTCACCAAAAATTTGCAATTTCAAATTCAATTTGAGTCTTACACAGGTGTCAGCAATGTTTGGGAAACAATATACATTGGAAAGCCACATTTTATATGGTTTAATTTTTCACAAAATAAAATACTCTACAAAGAATATTAATGGCACTGATAGGAACAACTCCTTTGGTTGTTCTGGGAAGGTTGGAAATGGTGGTTGCTAGGCAGCAAGGGCTGTCACTGGGAAAACCACCTAAAGGAAGGGTACCCTGAACAGGAAATCAGGCCATGGGATGAGAAATTCACTCTCTGGAGCCAGGCAAATTATATTCGTAATCCTGGGCCTTTCTCTTGTCACCAACTTGTCTATAATAGCCATAAACTCTTGAAGAACTGTGTGGGCCATAAAAATAACAGTAGTAGGGGCTGGAGAGATGGTTCAGGGGTTAAGAGCGGCACTGACTGATTTGCAGAGGACCTGAGTTTGGGTCCCAGCACCCACATGGGAGGTAACAACTGTCCATAACTCCAGTTCCAGAAGATCTGATGCTCTGTTCTGACCTCCGCGGGCATTTCGTGACACGGGTACACTTACATACATGCAGGTAATACACTCATACATAAAAAATAAAAATAAAATAAAATAAGAATAGCAATATTAGCCCCATTCTTGGATTCCAGGACATGAGGACAGAGTGCAGGGATACAAGACAGGAGAGCCTAGAGTCAATCCACATGGACTTGTCTTCAGAACCCACTTTATGCCCTTCTCTGAAAGGTTTGTTCATGATTCTGTTCTCAGGGTAGCTTGGGAATCAGCAATATCAGAGAAAATTTCCAGGGAGATTTACAGGCCCAAAACTTCAGTGCTTCAAGAGTAGGTCATAGGAACTGTGGCTGGACCCTTTCGCACTCTCAGTATCAGTAAGGTAACAAAAATAACAATAACTGTGTGGCCTGTAGAGTACTCTGTGTGTGTTCAGACTTTTTCTTCAATTATGTCATTTCACTTCAAATGATGCTATGGGTTTAGTACTGTTCTTAGTTGAAGTTCCTGAATGTTGAAGATACAGTTCAAGAACACATGTAAGTGACCAAGCGGGCTCAAATGTGAGGCTTCTGACTATACAGTTTTACTATTCTTCTGGTCTTAAGGAAGACTGTCTTCCTGAAGAGGAGTATTATGTCTATTTTTAAATCATTATGGGTAGACTTGTCTTTTTAACATTTTTTAATTAATTTATTTTTATTTTATTTGTATGAATGTTTTGCTTACATGTACATAAGTGCATAGTGCATTCATGTCATGCAATGCCCACAGAGGACAGAAGACGGCATTGAATCCTCTGGAATGGGAGGTACAGATGATTGTTAGCCACCATATAGGTGCTGGGTCCTCAGCAGAGCAGCCAGTGTTCTTAACCAGAGTCATCTCTCCAACCCCTCTTTTTAAGATTGATTAAAGAATCTAAGTGGGTGAAGATATACAGCAATTCAATATTGCTGTTTAGAGAGAAGGAAAAGGAAGCAAAGAAAAAGGAAGAGAAGGGAAAGAAAGGGGAAGGACAAAGGAAAGGTAGTCTAAAATTGAGTACTAAGAAACTTTTAACAACTGAAAGTCCAATGGAGAGAGATGCACCAGGAAACAGAATAGACAGAGGTCCCATCCCTGTGACCCCAAGCCACTACTACCTGAAGACCCAAGAGAGACATGCATGCCTCCCACAAAGAGAGCCATTAGACCTCAGCCCCAGCCTCCTGACGACTGTACAGAGTTATATACCCCACAGGTAGCACCAGCCCACCCTTGGGATCCCAAACCATCACCACCTGAGGACCATCCAGAATCATGAGCCTTTCACAAGTAGCACTGCCCCATCCCTGAAACCCCCAGCCACCTCACCTGAGGACCACATAGGCCTGTGCACACCTTCCACAGATTTCTGAGAATCTGTAGTGAAAACCCTGCTAGCTCTAAGAAGGGTTCTTTTCTGGGCCAAAAGCTGCACCTTACCCTAGCTGAGTTAGGACCACTTCTGATACCCTACTCACACACCAGCATTGCATGGCTCCAAGACTGACCCTCAAGCACCATTTAGCTGATCTAAAACGCCATAAGTTGGGGTAACATCAGGTAGAGATCCAAAGAGCCACTCAACAAATGTAGGACAGATATTCATTCCAAAAGACACTACCAACCACCTAACTCTAGACGCCAATATCTATCACTGAAACACAAACAACATGAGAACTCAAAGCAATATGTCTGCTCCAAAAATTAATAGTACTTTAGTAATGTTTCTAAGCAAAACACAAGACAATGAATTCAAAATAACAATTAAAAATTTATTCAAGGACGTGAAAGGGGATATGAATAAATGCCAAAATGAAGACCAAGAAAGCACAGTTAAATGAAATAAGGCCAAAACTTCAAGATATAAAAATAAACTTTAGTAAATACATAGAAATTCTGAAGAAAACCCAAACTGAAATAAAACTTGAAATGAAAAATTCAGTAAGTCAAATAAAAAGCTCAATGGAAAGTCTCAACAATACACGTATCAAGTTAAAGAGAGACAATCAAGACTTGAAGACAAAGGAAAGGAACTGGACCACTCAGTCAAAGAAAATGAGAAGTCTAAAAGCAAACAAAAAATAAAAAGCCCCATGAACTTGCAGGAACTCTGTAATAATGTAAAAGGACCAAGCCTACAAATCACAATACAGAAGACAAAGAAACCCAGGCCAAAGGCACAGAAAATATTTCCAATAAAACTATAGAAGAAAATTTTCCAACTCTAAGGATATGCCTACCCAGGTGCAAAAGGCATACAGAAGACAAATTAGACAAGACCAGAAAATAAATTCCCCATGTCATATAATAATCAAAACACTAAATGTGCAGAACAAAGAAAAGATACTGAAAAGTGCAAGAGAGAATGACCAAGTCACATATAGAGGCAGATGCCTCAGAAAAACAGCTGGTGTTTCAATGGAGACTTTTAAGGCAGAAGGGCTTGGACCAATGCACTACAAGTTCTGAAAAACTAGGGATGTCAACCCAGACCACTATAACCAGTAAACTATTTATCATAATTGAAAGAAAAAGAAAAACTTTCCATAATGAAAGCAGGTTAAAGGAATTTATGATAATCAAGTCAGTCCCAAAAAGTATGCTGTAAGAAATACTTCAGACTGAAGAAAAGAATGAGGGCATCCAGGAGATGCAAACTGAGAAACAGCGATGTCAGGTCAATGACTAAACAAAGGAGGACTAAGAAAACAAACACAACAAAATCAACAAATAACAGGAATCAGTATATATTTTTCAATAATAATTTTCAATATCATTGGCCCTAACTCCCTAATCAAAAGACAAACTAGCAGACTGGATTTACAAAACAGAATCCATCATTTTGCTGCCTCTTAGAAACACACCTCACTACCAAAGACAGAAACTACCTTTGAGTGAAAGAATTGGCAAAGACATCCCAAGCAAAT